GGCACGGTGGTCGCTTCCCATGCGGATCACGGAGACCACTTTTGCCAGAGGAGCTGCGTGAATGGTAACGGCCTTACCATGGCAGCCCAAGCACGACGGCTCAAAAAGCGGCACCGCGACCCTCGAGCGACGAACCACATTTGGAGTCGATAGACGGGGCGTTCTCGATCCATTAGATTTTATTTAAATAAGAAAAGTATCTTTGTATATTATTTATGAAGTTGTTTGTTACTCTCTTGGCTGCCGGTGCTCTGGCTTATGAGCCTACGGCCGACGTGATTGGTGGTACTGACACGTGCAAGAGCGTTGACGATCTTCAGGAGTGCATCTTGGGGTTGATAACAAAGAAGACCTCGTTTACCTACACTCACACTGGAGATGGTTTCAAGTCGACAGGTGTTGCCGGGTGTGCTAGTAAAAACGACACGAGAAGTTTGGTTTACGGTGACCTGAAGCCCTACGAGATCTCAGATTTGACCGGCGCTCTTAAAAAGGATTTCTCTCCTACGCAGTTCCTGGTTACAAACATTCCTGCTGCCAAGAAGGAAGGTTGCAAGCCTGTGGCATACGTTGCTGACGCCAGCAACGAATGCCCGGATGCTAAAACTACCACTATCACGATCGGCGAACCCGTGGCCGATGCGAACGACAAGACCAACAACAGTCTGATCTACGCTAGTGAAGATTTGACCAAGGCGGACACAACCAAACAGCTCATAATCGACTTGAGCAGCTGCGTAGACACAGCCAAGGATACACTGGCTTACTTGCAGTACACTTTTTCCGTGGGAGCCAGCGGCGCTGCTGCCGCTATCACCTTCTCTGCGGCTGCACTCGTAGGCCTCGCTGCCGTGGCTTTCTGAGCAGACGTAAGTTTGTTAGGTATGCGAGGTGATCCTTTTTCCGAGTGCGGAATTAGACGTCGAAACACACGTGCGTGTCCGCCCCACACCCGCCAACTTCCGGTTTTTCATGCCCAACCCTCCCTGTGAACTATCCAGGTCGCTTTACCGTCTCAATCAGGTGGCCCAAGTTGGCGCCCAAACCAAGTTACGAGCTCTTCATGCTGGTTTTTTTGAAAGTGATGCTACTGAGCATGAGTGCGTAAAGAAGCGTGCAGGGCATTAGAACTATCAGCAACAGGCTGCTGGGCCGCATGGCCACGGCGATGGGGTAGAGCAAGGCGGCCGGGAGCAGGACCATGACACAGAAGACCAAAAAGGTGCTGACTAAAGTCGCCGCGAATAACAAACCTTCTTGCCACAGCCACACGGGCCAGGGCCGCTCGCTGTGCAAATGCGAAGAACTCTACACAAGAACACGCTTTCTCGGTGTCACGAAAGTGCATGTGGGTGTACCATCTCTTTCACTTTCTTTAATGTTTTTTCACTGAAATTCGCCCGTTTTAGACGTGGCCAGCGGCAGTAGGGAAAAACGCCGCCCAGGTGTATGTGATTGCGCTGTTGAAAGGAATGGTGGCGACGAGGGCTAGCAACAGCAAGCTCACGAGCCGGCGGGGGTAGCACCGAGCACCCGCATCTGGTCCCGGACCTTGACCGATTCAGCTCAGGCTGCAAGACGTAACAATGTGGTAGGTTAGTTCAGGTTTTAATTAGGCTCAATATTCTAATAAGAAGTTGGAGATCACCGATGTGAGGCCGCTAGATGAACAAGAACAAGTCCGGGACCAAGTTCCAGCCAAGTGGCTCCCGATAATTGAGGATTCGATGTCTTTCATGAATTGTATTGAGATCGAGGGGCAGGCCGTTCGCGAAAGAACCGAAGGCTTCTGGCGACCCCCGGGGTTGTACAAATGTCTTGGTGTTGCGACTCTTGCCACTATAAGTGGCCTGACGGCTACTGGGTTCCTACTTTACCATTTTGGTCGTCGGAATACAAGTCGGTTCCCCCGGATGGCACCAAGACCAACAATTTACAACTCGTCTGTCTCGGACACCACGGCCTACAGCTCCTCTCCAACCGACGCGAGGACCTACAACTCTACTCCATCCGGCACTGCGGACCCTGGCCACACGACCACCAGCTCCACGTTATTCACGACGAGATTACCGTCCTCGACGCACAATCCGCTCGACGCGTATGAGGCCGAGGCTGAGAAGTACCTGCGGGCCCTGGCGTACAATTGTTTAGCCGTGCCCGACTTGATCAACCAGTGTCATCCGAACCCTGACAAGCGACCCGAGCCAACCATCGATGATATCACGACATTGCTTTCTGGGTATGAGTTGGCGACGCTACGAGCAACCCCCGGGACTTGCAACGATGCGCTTCACCAGAATAAGTCCCAATCGATCGTGAAAGCAGCGCCGGGCGGTTGGGAGAAGCTAGACTGGTCCCATGTAAGCGGCGGCGGCAAGGTAATTTGCACTGACGAGAATAGTCAAGACGTGACTTGTCATTATTTCGGCGAGCCGTTCAAGTACGATTTGCCTACTGTCTGGGGTGCGGTCAACTACTGCCTGAAGCCCTACCAGTGCCTGTGTACAGAACACCTTACTCTGGGTGACCGTCTCGAATACGGGGGCCGCGCAAGGGGGGTTGCAAAGTGGTTGGGAGGTGACTTATACGGATTCGACGAACGGAGAATGCGGGAAGCGGGGTTTGTAGCAGAAAATTTGAACAAAGGAGCAGATACCAAACGACGAGGTGGGGAATAGCTCACTCCCACTAGCTATTGTGACAATGACGGTGCGACATGTCGGACAAACCTGTCGGACAAACTGTCGGAATATTGTCAATGCGACATGATCGAAATGAGTGCCGAGGCCACCACTCCATCTGGCACGGCCATTCGCTGGGGGACGGTTAAAGACTACTACACCTACCAGACCGAATTGGCTAGGTACTATACGTTGTTCCAAAGAATACAATACAAATTGACAAAGTGTGATATTGTGTGCTATAGACATCCTGATCCCAAAGGACACCTTAAGTCTGCCAGCAGCTGCTGGGAAAGCAACTTCAATCAAAAGCTTTAGTGTGTCCTTTTTTATGTCTTGACCCCTGTGTCCTAAGGCGTTCTGTATTGTTTTCGCTGCGCTGTACTGCAACCGGGGCTGTGCCGCTTTCAAGTTGTGCGCATCAGGTTGTTGTAATCCCACTGGCAAGCCGGCCACGAGTTGCGTGTAACACGATCGCCCACGACATGTGTGTCCCTTTCAACGCAACCTCTGCGGCTCTCCGCGGCAGTTCACTCTCTACCTAGCAATCGGTCTGTGCTCGCATGATTTTCATTAAGACGGTGGGCGATACTCAGGACCAGAAGAGGTGTGGGGGCCAGGCTCACGACAAGTAATCCTTGCATAAGTGAATGAGACGTCGGGGAGTCTAGGAGTGCGTCCTCCATTACAACTAGCAGCAACCAACTCTGCCCATCTAGCTGCATGGGTCCTACGTGATCCAGGCTTACTGTGTCCATCGCGCTCGGATTCTCCAGACTCCCCTTCGGCACGTTGTGCGTCAGCCGAGCTCTCGTTCGAGTCCGGGCACATATCAGGCACTATCTTACCACTTTCGCCTCCGGGACGTACACCTTGCCAGTCATGGCCTGCCGCCACCACATGCCATCCTTCTTCACTCCAGGCACTCCTTGCGGCTCCAGCTGCCGGTACTCTCTCATAAAGTCCTCTTCCGACACCTGGGAGCTCCCCAGCAGTTGGCCCACGTAGCCTATCACTCTACCGCCCAAAGCCATTGCCTCGATCTCTGCGTCGCACTCTTCATCTTCCGCTACGTACCGCGACAACCAGTCCGCCATGTTATTCTTCTCTCCCGACAGGAACTCTAAGGTGAAGTTGAACCTGCTGAGCGCCAGCGCCCAGCGTAGCACCATCCCTTTGTCTACTCCCACAAGGTAGCGTAGGTTGGCGTAATCTGTGCGTACGGTGAAACGATGGAGCGCTCCGTAGTCGCACCACTTCTCTACAGCCTACTTGACGGCGA